TCGCCGACCGCCCTCGTCCGTCACGGCGGGACCCGCGCCCTCGCCCTCGCTTCCGGCATCCAGCAGCGCCCAACCATCGCATGTCATGAACGTGAGTGGGACGTAGACGTTGGCTTTGACGGCGACGTGCACCGATGCCGGTATGGCTACGTGGGAAGGTGTCAGTAAATCAGCGAGTGAACGGGACGTGGATTGCGTGAGGCGGGCGTGACATGAGCGTGCGTGCATGTATATGGGTACGTCGCGCCGCTGCGCGCCGACGCGCATCCGCGGCACTTTCCAGCACGGCGGCGTGGGCGAGGCTGGCTTCCGCAGCTCCCGCAGATTGTCAAGACTGATGTCTGAGCAGTATGAGTTTATACTTCATATGAAAAGTCCCCCGCACATCACGTTTCACAAAAATATTTGCCACAATCTACTTGTTGTAAAGCCCGCGCTGCGGATATTTTTCGCTCCGGTTTCATGAGATTAACGTCCCTGTCAACGAAAGCGAAACGGCGGAGATATAAAGTTTCGACGGGTGGGAAAGCCCGCAGCATGTCTTAGATACTAGCGACTCTCGAACATGTATAAGACCTATTTATTCCGGAGCAGGAAGACTGCGAGGAAGGAACTTGTAGGTTGAGCAGGCCGATTTGTGCGATTGCCGCCAGTGCCTGCAAAGAACATCAACGACGAATATCACTGAGATTGGGACACATACATTATTTGACAGCTTCGATTACAGTACCTGATACGTTGGCAGGCCCCGCACACCTTCGAGCTATCCTTGCCACACCAGACACAAAGCTTCTGAAGCTCCGGCCATATCTCGGTTGGTGGACGAATGGCAACTCTGACAGGAAGAGGTAGCGCTTCAAACCGACCACGTGGGACTGTCGAATGGCCAAAGAGGCTGACGATGAAGATAGACTGAACAAAGGCACCCGCAATCGGCGCCGTTATTTTGAAGGCGACGTTGAGGGTGTCCATCTTATCTTGCAGGTCCGAATTGATTTTGCGGGTGATGGCGGCGAGGATGAACGCCAGACGCTTATCCGAAGCCAAACCATGTTGCCTAAGCTGGAGGAAGAACTCTTCCCGATCTTGCCCGCTCTCCCTACGAAATAGTTAGTGGCGCTTTAATATTGAGAAGGTAACGCACATATGACGATATCGGAGAGTTGACGTGATACGCAAGCACAGGTTGGAAACGTTAAGCACCCAGTCGTAGTCCATTCCATGTCCCATTCCAGCATACCCACGCTCCTGCATCCAGACACAATACAGTTGGCTAACGACGAGATCGATGGGCCCGAGTTCTTCGGCAATGTCGCGCCCTAGCCGGAGATCTTCTCGCGCATAACTGGCGCCCGGCAGTGACGCCCCAGAGCGCAGTGTGCGGGCCCATATATCGCGGCCAAGCGCCTGAAATCGCAGACTGTGCAAGAAGTATACAAGCCAGATCGATTCCATGGCCTGCGCAAACAGCTGGCGGTAGCTATGTCTCAATAGAGTTCTGAAGGATGGAACACCCGACTTACGGAGATATCGCGTCTCGATGCGAATAGAGAAAGCCCAAAAACTGCCGGCCAACACAGTTCCCTTAACATGTCCCTCGAAGGAAATGCGTGAACGTGAGGAAGCGCGCCAGAATCATCTATCGCTTCCAGCACGTCAATGATAGGCCCGATATTGTCACCTTTATAGTGCAGAATTGCGCGTAGGTAACCGACACAAACGTCGGCATTCGCTTTGTTCCAACGAAACGGGGCGAGTTGAACGGTCACCATAGTTGGGACCAAACTGCAGAAGCAACGGACGCCGTGTTCATGCGTTCGTTCGGCGACGGCCGGCCGTCGATGGGCCGGCTGCTGGCTTGGAAGTTTTTATCGCAATAAGCGCGTGTCACGTCAACCGTAGACGATCATGTGAATGTGCTGGTCCGCCACGGCTGCTATAAGCGGGGCCGGCACTCACAAACGGCCGTATCTCTCACGTCCGCGCCGCAAGTGGCCGGTCAGAGCGAGAACTGGCGGCGCCCCTTCCGGCCGAGCCGGATTGAGCGGAAAAACGGCGCAGAGGGCATCGACGGCAGCTCGCCGGGGCGGAGAGGAACGCGCGAATGAGGCGGGGCGCCGCACGCGCTACCCGCGGAACCCCGTTTTCTCTCGGGCGCGATCGGGCAAGGGCTTCTCAGGCGCCGAATCTCCCGGAAGGACCGTTCAATTCCGTTCACTTGAATTCCCGACGCGCTCTCTAGTCACGACGGGGCGGTTCAACGCACTAATTCCGCGAGATTCTTTTTCAAGGTCGCTAAAGCACGTTGACAGGCGGTAAGAAATGAGCCGCCTGAGCGGGTAATTGCTATCGACAATTTTAAGAAATGCCCCGGACCCTTCCGCTTCTTGATGCTGCCGAGGCGGGTTGAAACGCAGCGAAAAGTTATAAGATCGAGATGAATTATAGCCAGGCTACATCACGAACACAGAAAACAGATCCTCATGAGAAAGAAGAAAAAAAGACTTCAGCGCATGTCGACTTGATGCAAGCCCAATACTTGCTCCACCGCGTTCTCCCGCAGAAACTCACGGAAATATTCTGCGGTCTCAGCCTGGAGGGATTCTGTAAACAAGGACGACATAGGAGACCACTTCTTGATCAACCGATGGACGCGCAGAAGCCGGCCTTTATCCGGTTGCGGGGGTACCTTCGGCAGCTGGCGACCCGACCGAAGCTGGGTGACATGCTGCACGGTCTCCGCTTCCTCCTGATCCTTCAAATCCTCTAGCGTGGACCACAGCCGGACCCCATGCACACGAGAGTGCCAGCCACCGTGGTACATGTCGCCGTACGTCACGTAATGGCCAGAGACGGCAAAGACACGCACCCTCTTCTGACGCTGGCCTGCCTCCGTCCTGAGGTAGAGAGCGGCTTGGTATGCACCCTGCTCTTGCGCCTTGAGGAGCATCTTCTCAGTCGCGCGCTTGCCGTAGTCGTCAAGTTGGTCACCCGGCCCCATTTGTGCGTCGTCGCGTGCAGGAGCCCTTTTGACCTCCCCGATGATTGGCACCGAGTGGTTAATAAGCTTATACATCTTCGTTTCTGCAGTCGACGAGTCCTATGTTTAATATCAGTCAGCTGACGGTCACATTTTTCAATACGACCGACACACCGCAAGTACGAACATACGGCACAAAGCGATGCAGTCCGGGCGGCAGGTCCGCAAGCTCTTGCGGTCGATGTGCACGGTCTTCTCGTTTTCTTCACCCAGGTCATCGGTGACTTCTACCAGGATGGGCACCTTGTCGGTGATACCGCTCGCACGCGGGCGCGCTGCGTGGGAAGGAGCGGCCGGTTGGGCGCTGCTGGATGAGGGCGAGGGCGCGGGTCCCGCCGTGACGGACGAGGGCGGTCGGCGAACGGGTACGGGAATGCGACTGCTGCCCTTCCGGTGCGGCACATCGGAGTCAGCGGGCGGCTGGCGTGACAGCGCGACGTCTTGAGCCCCGGCAGCGCTCGCGACATCGAACCAGAGATCGTACTCCTGCTGGACGGATAGGAGGAGGGTGGGTACCGCGGTGAGTATCTCTTCGAGGACGCGTTGGAGGACTATCCTCCAGAGGAATTCTAGATTGCGACCGTTTATCCTGTAAGACACCGCGGCCATATGGTCCAAAGCGATATCAAACTGGCGTCTGCTGAACCGATTGGGTAGTTTCCCTAGGGTCATCTCCTGCCATGTGGTCAGACGTGAGCGACGTGGCTGCAAAGAGACGTCGCACCAATTCAGCGTACAGTTCGCCATCTTCTGAAGACGTGATTGACTGCCAGAGAAAGTGAGCCGACCGCAACGCATGCGATAGTTAGTACGAACACGAAGGATGAACTTTATAAAGTCCTTTCTTTTGCGGACAACCTCCACCAAGTGCTCGAAGTCGTCGTCCGTCATGTGCTAAATTACCGAGATCAGATCTGTTGAAGCGTCGCCACCAAACGGTACAACTGACGGTGAGGAGGTCTGTAAACAACAAGCACCTCTCTTCAGGTGGGAGACAGGAGACATCTGCCATGTCCGGGGCGGAGGGACGGGTCAAGTGGGAAGCGCGCCATACCGACAGCGTCGTCTGGGTGCAGATAAGCAGGTGGTCCGGCGCTTGGTCGGAGGGTACGGCGCGGTGTGCGGACGCGACGCCGTCCGCTCGTTACTGCGCGATTTGACGGGTGAGGAAGCCAACGACCGCCCCACTGCATTCTCTGCATTGAGCGCACCGATAACACAATCCATGAGAAGTGCGCGTCGCCACATCACAAGGTCTCGTCTATCTCCTACTGCAAGACGCATGCAGAAGAGGGCCCAGGCGATCCGGACCTTCGGGAAACACGATAGTCCGGCGCTTAGTCGGAGCGTACGGCGCGTTGTGCGGACGCGGCGCCGTCCGCTCGTTGTCGCGAAGCGAGAAGCGATTTGACGGATGAAGAAGCCAACGACCGCCCCGCTGCCTGCTATACATTGAGCGCACCGATAACGCAATCCATGAGAAGTGCGTGTCGCCCACATCACAAGGTCCCGTCGATCTCCTACTGCAAGACGTATGCAGAAGAGGGCCTAGGCGATCATCCAAGCACGGGCATATCGTACAAGCGCTGCCCGTTGTTCACCGCACGAACGGCGAGATACAAGACCCTCGCGAGAAGGATTTGTTCCAGATCATGATGTACGGCAGCCGTCGCTTTCGCCGCGCTACGTTTGAGAGAGGTATCCGCTTCCTGTGTCAGCAATTACTTAGCGCGATGCCCCGCTTTCGTGCGCATCCCACGCGGATGACGCTGGTCGTTATCCATCACGATGCGTGATGTATGACCACGAACGAAGAGATCGAGGACAGTCAACATGGTGTCACAAGAAGCCAGGAATGTGCGCGGGAGTAAACGCGACCCCGTCTCGGCACAACAGGCGGGGGCCGAACGTTCTATGAGATTCTTCGATCCTACCATCAATTGTTCTCATCATCAAACTCTCATCAAAGGGCCCGCGAGGCGAGGCGAGGCGAAGAGAACTATGGACGCACTACGCGTGTTGGTTGCATCGCAAACCTGGAATGTCTTGCCAATGCTCGGGAAGAGAGACGGAGGCGTTTCGAACCGTCCCGCGCCTCGTGTTGGACTTCCACGACGAGCGCTCTGACTGCCCATCCCTCCGAGTTTGAGATTGCCGACGCGTAGCTGTCTCCGAGTGCCACAGAGGTCTGAAATCATGGTTCGGAAGTATGCGCAGATATAAATCGCGCAAACATCGTTGGCGATCGCCGCCACACGCGAGCGCCATTGCTAGCGCCCAGCCTTCCAATCAATTAGCGACACTTTCCGATCATTGACAAGCGCAAGGGACTCGAGAAGTGCAGATGAGGTTCCTGAGGCCCGACAGTATCGCATTGCGGCTCAAAGGAAGTAAGTAAACCCGCGAAGGCAAAGGCGCGTAGGCAAATATACTATCTGCAGAGAATCTAAGAGACAATAGTAGAGGTGTTACGATATTACTTGAAGTCCTCTACTCAAGAGTCTCAAGCGCATGAAGCGACGTGTGAGCGACGCCGGTCATTGGCTGTGGACCAGCCTTGAGGCCGAGTCTCGCTACGACGAATCTCGCGCTCAAGCTTGCCCTGCGAGGTAATAGAGATGCCCGGGGATACGGGCTCCTGTTGAATCCCTGGAGCGCTTGTTCAATTGATTAAATCACTCTCAAGTGCGTGAAAGAGATGGCGTGGATGCCTTCATCATGGATGCCGGGTAATCGAAGAAGCTGAGTTTAGGAAGGCCTTCCGAGAGCACTCGGTACTGATGTGCTCTCGGGTATTCAGAGCCGCAGCCTAGCAGAGTCCCCAGTAGGGCGACGGGAAGTGGCAATCCGTTGCTTACTTATCAGGAGCTCTCAGACGATCCTGGAATGCGGGCCGTCCCGAACAAAGCGACCCTTAGACGCGGTCGAGGAGCTAGCCGTTGACCGAGATCGCCGCGATGTCGGTTGTATAGTTCCTTTAAGCTACAGGGTCAGAAGCCTAAGTCGGCCGCGTACCGCGCGAAGGAAAGGAACCCAAAGAGATGCCGCGGGGCGGTTCCCGGTGGCAACACGTGACGGTGGTTCGTTCGTCATATAGTCGCAAACAGCTGCAGCTAGCGCCGAATTGCCTTCACCAACCCTATCCTGTCTCCTCAGACGATATTACCATGACCACAGTCGCGTACAGGATCCCAGCCTTTGGAGACTCGTACGTCGTCCTTGGTGAAGATACCGACATTCGCCTGACCAGATTGACAGACAATCACCAACGGATCTTGAGCCACCGCCCCCAATTCCCGGTGACCGCCCAATACGTCGGCGTGCCCTATATGGCTGGCGGTTCACCTACGACAAGCTCTTCAAAGCGCACGAAGGTCCGGAGGAGGGTGACGAGGATGACGCCCTCGATATCATCTTCGAGGTCGCAAACTCCGTCGACATGCTTCACCTCATCGACGTGTATGAGAACTTCATCTGGCTCTCGCGCAACTACCTCAGTCGCCACCATGGTACCATACACTCCAGAGGTCTCTCCCTCATACCGAAGAAGGAGAACATGCGAGTGCTCACAGACGCGCTCAAGCTAGGAGAGCCTGAGTGGCATTTCCTAGAGGAGACGGCGTAGGTAGCGAGGATGGACGTATGGGCGCGATTGGTGTGGGAAGGACTCGTACGCTTGCTTACCATGATTCCTCGTACGGCTGCTTTGTAGTTGCAACAGCTGTGCATATTACCAGATTCATGAGCTGTCCGTAGAACTCTTCAATCAACATTCATCACGATAGCACCGCAAACGTTGAAGGAGGACTGTTGTTTTGCGGGGTATTAGCATGCGGTCCACGTACAAGCAGATACAATGTAACAAGTGTCAAGAACATCGTGTGGTGCAAACGAAGACGTTGGTCTCAGTGGCATCAGGCAAAGGGTCTTCTGAAGAGGTGAGTATAGCACGCCAATAACTTCGTGAGCGTCGAGTGCGGCGACGCACTTCGTGCACCGCATGGCGTAGAACATTCACGAAGCACCCCGCAGCGTCAATATGCTGGCCTTTCTTTGTGGGACAATATTGATCGACGTTATGAACTCACCAAACGGCTCGCAGTCTCGGCTGCTTGCTGAGTAGCCGACCTCTCTGTGACCCCGCGCGCCGCTCTGAAGCTTAGCCGCTCGGCAGCTACCCCGGCGCGCCGCCTTACTATGCTTCCACGAGGTCGAGGGTCAGAGCGGCGGACCGTTCTGGCCGTGGATGGATCCAAAAGGCGGCGAATTCGGGCGCAAGACCTCGAGGCACGGGATCCAATGGCTGAATCAAAACTCGGGCTGAGCGCCGTCACAGCGCAGCCTACGTGCGCGGGCTCAACTGGTGTAAGGAGCCGACGAGGTGATTACTCACGTTCTCAGTGCCGGGGAAAAGCAAGGGAGGGCCGCGCGGCGCTCTGCGGGTGGCGGAGCAAAGCCAAGGGGCCTCAGGCTCGCGCAGAGGAGCCCATCCCGCGCGCCATGTCCGCTCCGATGTGACTCGCGTGTCAATCCTTAACAGTGGCTGCCCGCGCATTCGATGTATCGTGTGAACGGATCACGTCGCGTCTATATGGGAGACGCATTCACTTGATTGGCAAACGCGTGATCTTTGGGGGGCCACTGCCCGTGAAAGCGGAAAGGGACTCATTACGTGTGAGCAAGACGGGCCATGCCCCTAACCGATCCGGGGACCCGAAGGGATTGTTCGAGGGCTGGCGCGTCGATGTTCGTCTTTCGCGACACGCGGACTATACAAACAAGCCCGACTAGGACAATCATAGCTTGCGCTATGCAAACATCTTGAAAAGATCTAACTCTAAGGTCTATGAGCCCGCAGAAGCGGTAAAAGAGCTAGGTGTAACGCAAAGCGTGAAATTCATATGTTTTTTACTCAGAACGAGTCCGCTGCTCGCGGCAAGTGGGGCGAGCGCAGGGGGGAGAGATCCCAAACCAGGCGGAGCCTTCGGAGTTGATTGCTGCGACTGCCCGCGAACGCGGAGAATGCGGGGGGGCGGCGCCGTAGTCCGGTCTCACTCCGGACGCCGAGCCCCGCCGGTGTACTGAGTAGGAGCGCGGTTACGCGCTGAGCAACTTTTATGGCGCTCATGATTTGACGAAGAGCACGATTCATGGGCTCGGAACGACGTGGCAGCAAGAACGGCCGAGACGGCGTGGCGCGGCGAGATGCCCTCGCCATTTCCTTGCTCTGGTCCTTGTCTCGGTTCGGGTACGGTACGCGTTAAGTATCTGTCGCAGGCGCGTGGTTGGGCGTTGAACGACAGCGTACGCGTAGGCGTAGTCTTAAAGCTTTATTGCACTGGTCCTTTTGCATCAGCTTCATCCGACAGGCGCCGGAACGCCGCGGGCATCCGCGCGCTGTCCCAAAACCTATTTGTAATGTTGCCACCTAGATAGATAGCGCAAAAGCCCACGCCACAAAGCAAGGCACTGCGTGTGCGAAATGGTGTAACAATCTATGGACAGGGTGCAGTGACCAAGATTGGCAGATCATTCACAAAACACAGACTCAAACACTCTATACGAACATTTATGACCCTGCAGACCAACAAGATCCGTGAGTTGCTCCTCTATCAGAACAATGCATCATATGAGGGAGTTAAATTGGCCGTACCTGAGGCCACAGAGGGCGGAGTAGTTCTGCGTCATTGTTAGGAGCTTGATCGATAGATCGGCGCTCGTTTACATGTTGTAAACAATAAGATACATTTCAAGATCCTATAGCACGGTTAGAACATGCTACGCAGGCAGTTCACGAGTAGGGGTTGGCTTCATATTGGGACATACATCACACATGTCATTGGAATCTATCTACGGATTGATAATGCTTATGCGGAGAGTCTCCACACCTCTCTATACATGCGGCGCCCTCAGGCATGTTTATCGTGCTCTACTGAGCACCCCAAATGCGGTGCACTTACCACTCTATTGCTCACATACCACTTCACACCAGCCACATGGTATATGATGGCAGAGCGAGTCAAATCGTCTCATTCTTGCTGAGGTATCCCCGCCCCGTCTCATGTCTGTACATGAAACTTCGAATCAAAAAGATCAACGAGGCTTATGCGGTCGCCGCGCGCCGCGGAAGATGCCGGTCGGAAGACGCATGACATTCGGGAAAGGTGCGGCGCGGCGCGTCTACGCAAACTGACCGGAAAACAGCAGCAAGGCTGCGGGGTCACTCGCTTTCCGTAGACGCGCGCGGCGCCGCGTTCGCAGCAGCTCATGAGAAGAGTGCCCGTGCCGCGCGCCGTGTTCCTACATTATAGGTCATCTTGCCACACTTGCAAGGAGGAACTTCTGAAGACGCTAATATACATTGATTCTGGATATTACGGTGCCCACCCAAGCCGACGATGCTCGAGCAATTCAGTCCATCGGAAACACGGCAAACTGTCTTGAAGGATAGATCCCGGTTTGGTTCCGCTCCGGAGATGTTTGCTTTGCGAGGCGCTTAGACTAGTGTGTATGACGGAGTGCGCCAAGATTATGCGTACCGCCATACAATATGTCTTTAGAGAGAAAGGTCCTTGCTGCCTGCTGAGCGCAGGCTTCGAACTCGGCGCAGGCGCGCGGCCTGTAGAATGAGACGAGCTACTTGGTTGTTTCCCGGAGTGATGCGAGCGCCGCGACGCCGAGCGGGCCGCGCCTTGCTCTCGCGGCCAGGCAAAACTTTGCTCGCCTCTGCGGTGCTAGAAGGCTGGGGAAACTTCGGCATATAAACACGAGATTCAATTGCGAAGACCGCACCTTCGTCGCGGATACCGAGTTTCCTTGCCCGGTGGTACGCGGGGTCAAGTCCGCTTCTGCAACCGGCGAATGCTGCGGCGTATCGGTCGCCATGCGCACAATCGCCCGTTCTTCCTTTGAGCCGGTCATAAATGGATTTCTGACGAGAGGTCCTTCGACGGACGAACGCGGAGGAAGGAGATGTACGAATAGGTGAGGTAGAGACGGTGGGACTTAAGAAGGAAAGCGAGGCTCGTTCGTCCGTTTTGAGGGGTGTGAAGAGGTTTGATCGGCTGAGCCGGAACGGCGCGACGAAGCCGTGGTTCATTCGGTCTGATGCGGCACTTCGCGAACTGCCACGCGGACACTCCGCTCACACTCCGAACAACCATCTCGGCACTCCGATCAGTCATCCAGGCACTCCGATCAACCACCCCGGTCAACCGCTCCAGAATACTTATATCCCGCTCCCTAAGGTCGTTCGCATCTGTCAGCTCGCCTTCCTAGCCACGATGGCGCCCCCCTGCAGATTCCGCTCTTCTCCCAGCTCCGTCGGGCTCCAGTCTTCCTCCGACCCGTCGCGCGCGCCCGCAGACAAAGTGGCAACGGTGAGGTCTCTCCGCCGTCGCCCATTCGTGCTTCGCCTCTTTACTCGCCCCTCTACTGGCACTCGTCGATGGCGTCCTGTTTCTAAGTCTGTGCGACTACCCGCACCTACTTACGACATATCCACGTCGGCTCGAGATCTGAGCGGACGCGATCTTCAAGTTGTTCGCCAGCTACAAAGGAAATTCCTTCGCCGAGCTATGTTGTCGCCGTGGGCTGCGGGAACGGTCTCTTACAGCGGACATGCGCGGATTCGACCTGGGTTGTGAGTGCAGCCACTACTCAGCCATGTGAATCATTTGACATACTGACGGTGTACTGGTAGCTCTGACAGACGCTCGTTCCCTGTACCTTGGGAGGTCCCGGTCCCGTTTGCGACCATGCGGCGTGCTCGCAGAGCGTCTGTGGCCGACTTGGTATACGTCGCCCCAAAACCACATCTCAACCACGCCAACGAGTTCTGGCTCTTCATCGTCACCGCCATTAACGGCGGATACATCCGCGGG